GATTAGTTACATCCTGCTCTGCATTATATTATTTTATGGTAGTTCTATAAACTACGTGTAATGACATAATTAACTTCTTTAATATCTTTATCCTTTATTGATTTTTATATGTGTTTTTGCATTACATTTTAATACTTTATTTTTCTTTGAATAATTCTACTTTTGCTTTTAATCGAGATTTATGGATTTAATAAAAATAACTATTTAATTTTGGTTCACCGCTACTTCTTTAAAATTTTTTGATTTTATTGACTATTTCTATGTGTAACAACTCAGTGGTCGCGGGTTTACATTTCAGGTGCGGTAGAGCTTTCAGTACATGCGAGCGTATCATCTAAGTTATCCGGCAGCCTTTAACGCCACATTTTGTAAATCTATTTACAACATACATAAATAATAAATACATGAATGTCTAACGACTCTAACATTGTTCCCGATGTAAATAGAATTGAATGAATGAATGATAGAAATGGAATTTTATATGAATGACAGCCTTCTTTCTTTGTAAATGTAATTTGTACTTTTTGCTTGAAGTAAAGATAAAACAAAAAATATTTTTTTTTTCGAATAACATGGTTGCTTTCAGTCCTATAACAAAAACCATGGCATCATTTCACAGCACAGGATTGCTTTAATTCTGTATGAAATCATATTTGTAATGCGAATTTTATATGGAGTGCGAGAAGGACACCACTATTGTTGATTTATTTATACAATAATATGCATGCGCAATATTAATATTTATTGTACGACAAGATTATTAAAATTTTTATCATTTATATGTATGGCACTAACATTTTTTCGGCGTGCCATTATATGAAAATTTCAGATATCGTATAATAACCAGAATATACAAACTTACGAGAACTACAACAATTATAATGGAATAACATGCAATAAAATACAGAACAATTTGATAGACTGGCACATTGACAATACTGAGTTTTTATCTGTGTCTATTGTTCCTGATAAATTCGCAGGATTATCCGATTTAGTTTGACAGACACCTACGAATGAGAAAAAATAAATGGAATAGGTTGTTTGAAAGGTACCAACTCAATAGAGCAATGCTTGATTAATTGTCCTGCTCTAAAACCAGTCTTAACTTGAACTCTTTATGGAATAATTATTATGCTAATTATATCCGAAATGTGAACAGCCAGTTGCTAAATGATCCTAAGAAATCTTAGAAGCTCGAAGGTTATTCGTCCCTTAGAAGGTTATTCGCCCCTTCTGCATTACGGTAAGTCCGAAACCTTTAATCCTTCTGAAAAAAACGATCTGATTTACTGACTTCTTTGAAAGATAATTTTCCAATGTTGATTATCTGCCGAATCCTATCTGATTGATTCGTGTGACATATTTCCTCTTATTGTGTTTCCGCAGGAGGAAGTCCTCTCTTTTCTCTTAGTTTTAGAATTCTCCTTTATTCCTGGACCAGACGGTATATCTTCTTTGATCCTTCGGCCTTGTACTGAGCTCATTTAAACTCCATTACCACATGTTTTCACTAATAACTTACAGAAAGGTTATTTTCCTATGGCTTGAAAGACTAGTTTTATTATGCCATTATATAAAACCGATCGAAGACAGGATTTTGAAAACTATAGGAAAAATGCAAAGCTAAGCCTTGTGGCTTACTCGTTTAAATCGTTAGTAAATAATACACTCTTTCCGGTCACCTAACGCGCTTTACTTTGCTTTCAGCGTGGCTTATACGGTAGACGGTCAACTTTCACTAATTTTTTGGAGTTGATATATAGTATACATGATGGTTTTTCTCAACGCAAACAAAGTGACGTTTTCAAAACTGTTGATAAAATCAGTCTTATAGTTTAAACCTTATAGAACTAGTCGAGGTCAGAAAGTATTGCTTATCTCAGTTTCTCGGAGTATTTCCGTATCGTTCTGCGTTCCCTAGGGGTGTCACTTATATCTCCTTTTAAAGCTTCATTACGACAGCAAGCTCCAGATTATGCTGCGCACGGCTGCTCATCTATTAAGCAGCCACAGTCGTCAAAATTGCCTAAAAATATAAAATATTTGTTAAAAGACCGTGCACTTTGGTTAATAGAGAAAAGATTGTTCATTCAATTCAACGCGCATCAGAAAGGCCTTATTGTTAGATGAACGCTTTATGCACCACATTGTCTTTTTACCTTCTCGCATCTCGAAGGGCGTGAAAAACTGAAACTGGAGAAAGGAGACACTACTCAAACTAATTATTATGAATGAACATTACTATTGGATAACTATATTCGTCGAACGCAAAAATTTATTAAAAAGATCAAAAGTTACCAGAAAAATATTATCCACAAAACTATTTAACTGTATATCTATAACTGCTGAAGTAGTTCATTTTAGAAATGGGAGACAACGAGCAAAAAGCTTTATAGCTCATACATATTTCATTAAGAATCCGTTAGTCATCACCAAGCACAAGCCAAATTTTTATTTACATTTCAACACATGTCATGATAGCAAAACGAAAGGTATTATTGTGCATTCACAAAAGAAAAATATACAAACCTTGCTAACTACCTAATTTTTTTGTTTTCTCTTCCATACAGGAGGCGTTTTTGTTGCGCTCTTTTTTGGTATCGTTTTTGCCATCCTTATGGCGTTATTTGAGTTTTGGCAGCATTATGCAGACCGAAAACGACAACAGCAAGTTTTAATCACTGAAGATGTTCACTATTTTTTTGAGGAAATTTACCAACAACAATATTGTGATGATATAATTGCAAAGAAAGAATTAGAAGATTATTGTTATTCTTTCTCACGGAAGCGGTACGGAAGTCGTCACAATCATCGATCTTTGATTTTGGAAATGTTCGAAGAAGCTCGTTATGCGTTCCAATGTATAAATGAGCATCAAAGGCTTTCCATGCGGAGAAACTGTATAAAATGTCAGCAATCTCGAAATCTGAAAATTGCAACTGGTTTATAAAACCTAACTCAAAACGAAGTCTAATTAGCAGTTTCCAATTAATGCTGAGTGTGACTTATACGAAGTAATAAAAGTAGAGCAAAAGAAAAAGCAGCAATAAAAATAATAGATTATATTCCTAACAAAAATCACAACGACAAAAGGAACAATAATAATAATAAAAGATTGTGAACAAATGTGAAAAGATTGTGTGATTCTGCTCATTCGGGAAAACTTTTTTTAAAGTTAGACGGAGTTGAATATATACGTACATGAACAAGGTGAAACATACAAAATCTTCTGGTACATATCGCTATAAACTAAATGCCACAACGATTTGGCGATGAAATATAATAAGGGTACAAAATAAAAACAGTAATCTTTGCATTAATCCACTCTCAATTGAAAGACATACCTTCAAAGCTATTTCGTGGAGAGTTACGTATGGTCATTGTCATTCGAAATTTATTTCAAAGAAATAATGAGAAAATGATAGGCAAATTTGACGTTTGTTTGTTTACAACACTACAATAAATAACAAAATCATACAAGCGTAAATAAAAACCAAGAAAAAAATTATAATCGGCCGTGACCTAATCTTTCATACCCATCATCGTGATTCTAAAAAAAATTAACAAGAGGACAAAAGCTAAATTTTCTATTCGATAATATTGAGTAAGCGCAGCTGTTTTTTTCATGGCCGGTTTGGGTAATTTTATTTTTGCAGATACTACATAGTTAGGAAGATAGATACACGAAAAGACGGACATGATTCTATTCCAAATTTGAAATATATGCTGTAATCTGTGAGAAAAGACCAAAACCAGAACCGGCCTATTTCCAATATTAATTTGCTTGCAAAAGCTTTTAATGTTTGTGCCAAATTTAAAGTCGATAACTGCATTTTTCCGGACAGTTGCATTGCTTTCCGATTGCGTATATTACGTAGCATGGAGATACATAAAATTCCAATGAATCGTAAGTAATAATATGCAGGCAATTTTGATTAAAAGTTGATAACGTCCTCACCACAAGAAAGATGTTCGGATATTCCCTAGCAATCAACATTTTTTGGTAAACTTTGAAGTGTCAACTTAAACTTTGAATTCTAATTTATATCTTTTTATTTTTATATTATATAATATGTGTTTACTCCTCTAGTTGGCGAGCAACGCAGGCCAATGAACTTTAAGCAGAACTCCGCGCAAAGAATTAAAGAACTTCGATTCCACGAGATAATATCGTCTATTTTATTAAATCAAAAAATGATGCTTATATACTAAAATGATCATCTTATAAACTATACATGTTTTATGTATCAAGGCGTGAGATCGATATCCACAATCTATTCCAATATGTAAACAAATAAAGAATAATAATAGCACAACAGGCAAACGGTACCCATACGTATACACATAAACATGCAAAGACAAACAACAGACCTATCGGAAGAACATAACCAAACTGTGCAATAGGAAATATGAATAAACTAAAAATAACATATATATTTATACACTAACAAATAAATTTACCTATAAAGAATGTGTAATATTTTAAATTGAATGGTAAATCAATCCTAATTTTGTATTATATAAATAGAGGCCAAACTTTTAAACATCACAACACGTTTACAGTGGACTTATTTCTTATATTTTTTTTCCAGTACAATTCAGTTTGGAAGCAGAGGAAATACCTATCTATTTTTATTACATCACTAATTCGCCTTAATTGCCAGGACACTAGTGAAACTTCGACATCGTCGTTAAAATAATTTGCCTTGATCCAGAAAATCAAAAGATTACTGCCACAATTTGCATGTGATCGTAAACTTTATGAACAAAATATTAATATATACATGCGCAGAAATATATAGATATAGATTAACTTATCATCATTTCGTGCAAATTTTTCTTCCATTCTTTATAGTATTTCTGATACCGAAAAGATGCTCTGAGCAACGTTTGAGTAAAAATCGCTATACGCCAGCCATTGGTAGCCTTCAGATCCAACAGCTCCAAAGTAATATCTAAATGGGTCACCGGAAGCATATAAATTCTTTTTACGCCATCGCTCGGATCAATGTTTCCTATTCAAAAGCATCTTTTGACTTGCGAAACTTTTGCAGAAATCTAGACGTAACGGTGTGTATATTTTAGTTTACGTTGGTAATAAATATATAAAATAATTTACTTACCTATTTCCGGGTAACGTAAGAGAATTTAAAGCGTCTCGATAGTTAACGCGATATATAATCAGTACAAGAATACGTTTACTGTTGCTTTGACAAATACAATTTCCCACATGAAATTTGAAAAAAAAAGAGTTTCTTAAATAAAACCATTCCCAACAACCTCTCCAAACATCAAAATTCTATGCATAAATTTATCAAGAATATATAGAAAAATAGTTGAACAAAGAAATCTAATGATTGCCCCCTTACCTGATAAGGCCGAAACTGTAAATATGACAGAGCATTTGCCCCTAGCAGCCGTTCACCAGAAGATGACTATCCCACCTAATGTTATCCTCGAACAAAGTTCAAGTGAAAATCAGTGGATTGACTTAGAAAGATAGGAGACGGAGGAACGAAAGCACACATCTTTATAATGTGGCTTTGAGTCCATAACAACAAGACTGTCAATCGAATAAATAAAATGAATAATAACAATGAATGAAAATACAGAGTTTCGCAATAGCTCCCGAAATGGTACAAATAGCGTGTGGGCAAAAAACTAAATAAAAATTTTCTAGAAGACTGCCCAACAAATCCTCATTATCGGAACCAAGACTGTAGGCTCAATATCGAGCAACCTTTAGAAGAAATTACATTCCTACAACACAAATTGGATGATTTAAGCAAGAAATACGCGAAAAGAGTTTTCTTGCCTAGATTATTTTTATTTTTTATTTACTCCTGAAATTCAGCTAATAAATTAACAGCCGAATTTAATTGGCTCTTAGAAAGGCATCGTGTGGTAAGTGTTATTAATGACGATCAAAAAATAATTAAACAAAAATAAAGTAAAAATCCGAAAACGAAAATAACAAAATTCATGTATAAATAGATACAGGAAAAAACACTAGCACAGAATCAGACCCGTAATCCCGTGAACCCCCAAGCCATTGCAAATCTGCAAAAGCCTGGCAACCGATAAGAGTCAAAGTTGAATTTTCGAATCCTATAAAGACATGGAGATTAGAAGCTAATCTAAATACGACATAGTAGAGTTGCTTTGATAGTTTGTCATGAATCCGATATTGGGATTAAACTATAGATATGATGTAGATTTTTGTAAAAGACTCCACAAAGATTGAAAAGCTCGTTATTATATCTACATTGACTAAGCTGTAAGAAAGTAAAGTTCCTAGAGAAATGGTTTGAGCCATTCAAGTTTAGCTCGCTAAATAACGTCGGCGAATCAAATTATTAACTTAAATGAGAAGGAAGCACCGAGGACACATCTACGTTTTTCAAGTTTCGTAACGAGGTAAAGAGACAAGAGGGTCTCAACCCAAATGCCTACTCGCAACCAGCCAAAAATCAAGTTGAAACGAATCTACGTTTTCCAATAAATAAATAAATGAGATAATCAGAAGTGAATAGAGCCCACCTTAAGAATGAAAGTTTCTCACATTTTTTAAAATTTAGTTTCATTCAATTTAGAGAGCAGCACGTAACCAAGTCAGATTGAAAAAGATACGAGTACGATTCCAAGGAAAGAGGGGAAAATAGTGTAATATCGTCAGCATACATTAAGATAAGGCTGGATTTATTCACCGAAGGGTGATAATTGATGTACAACATAAACAGAAAGGGTCCTAAATGACTACCTTGAGGGATTAAGGATAATTGATCAGAGGTTATAGAGTTAAACACACCTTTAAACGATATGTTATGGAGATACGAGCTTATCTATTTCAATAAGAACAAAGAAAAGCCAGCGTTCTGGAGTTTAAAGACCAATAATTTATGGCTAACTAAGGCAAACGCTTTAATAAAATCAGTTTGCATGACATCTATAGGAGAGCCACTATAGAAAGACTTGCGAACATGGCAAGTAAACTCTAAGAGGTTCGCATCGGTTGATCGCCCTCTTAGGAAGTCCTGCTTAAATGGAAAATTTAGGATTTGATAGCGAAAGCTATTTGTTGAGTAACAACTCGTTCAAAATGGTAAAATACATAATAAAAATACAAAAATAGAAGAAACAACCGATCATAAGAACGTAAATGCACTCGTTGACATAACTAGGACTAAATTTAGACATTTTACAAATTATACAGCGCCCACAAAAAAAATTGAATTATATCAAAAGGTAAGTGAAACGTTAAGGTTGACAATATCAACCTACAGCAGGTTGAATTCAACACTTAGGCTGAAAACACCTAAACACACCATTAAACCGGCAGATATCACGCCGTAAACTCCAAGACATCATCAAAGTTTTGATTGAAAGCATACCACCAGATAAAATAAGTGAAATTCAAAATATAGAAGAGCTTTCTTGCCTAACCTACAGCACTGGAGCGACTGGCATCAAAACGGTAAGAATGAAATCTACCAGTTTTATACAGAAAATGATTTAATACGAACAGAGTTAAGATCATGAAAAAAAAAACGAATGAACCACAAAAATTAAAACCCTACGTCAAGACGGCCAAATGGCTGACTACATAATAAGAATTGAAACAAGCACTATAACAAACTAATTTTAAAAAAGTTAAAATATTGTTACGGAAATGCTAAATTCTGTTCATCCCAGTTAAGTAATAAAACCCCTAGAGAGAGAAAAATCAAATGCACATTCGCAGCGCGTCATACAGCTGCCGGCCGAGTTCCGGGAAAGCAGGTCAACGAGTTAAAAGCTATAAAATTAGGTACTAGTAATATGATGGTAAAAATGTATATAAATAGAATATTTGTGAAACGCAGAATGAGTAGAAAAAGAATATTTAAGTTGAGCAATTGAAAGTATTGCCAAAAATAAATTGTGAATAATCCTACATTTAAGAATGTAAATAAAAGAATTTCTAAGCGTATTTCTTTGATCCAAATATCCGCGATCCAGTGATACGAACTGTATCTAAGAAAAGCGAATTTTATAACAGAAGTGAGATCGTGGAAACCAAGAGATATGGTGAAATTAGAAGAAGTCAAAGCGGATCAGCCCAAACAGGAGCTGGGAAACCTTCGTACAATCGGTAGCAAAGCTGAATTAAAACAAAGACTGGTGGAACAGCCAGAAAAAGGCGGACAGAACCCGTCCATAATTGAATTCGAATATAATATCGAGGGAAGGGAGCAAGCCGACAACTTGGGAAGGACAGAAAATTCAGCTACAGCAGGGGAAAAACACAGCGAAGAAAAAGGCGAAGATAGCCCAAGCATATCAAACTTTATGCACTTTATGCAGCAAATGCAACAACAAATGTAACAACAAACGCAACAAATGCAACAACAAGTGCAACAACAAACGTTAGAATCAAAAATTTACGAGAAAATTGTGTGCCAGAATAAATGCACAGGGAGAAGATGCAGACGCCTTGAAAAGTGAAATAAACGCCTTAAAAAAAAAGTGGCTAAGCTACAAACTAACCACCAGCTCTATCAATGTAAAAACACCACTATTTGATGACACCACTAACTTTAACGCATTCAAGCCGTAATTTGGTGTTGTTGCAACAAAAAATATGTGCAATGACGACGATAAAGCAGTCGCATTAATAACTTCCTTGAGAGGAGCAGCAGTGGAAATTATCCACATAATCCCGGAAGGAAAAAGAACGGAATTTGCTGCAATTATAGATGATTTGGAAAGGAAATATGGTAACAAACATGTGAAGGAGGTAAGCCACCTAGAGTTGTCTTCGCGCTGCCAGAAGCTGAACGAAAGGATCCAACATTACGCTACCGAAATTAGCGCGCCTGGCCAATCTCGCGTACATCAGTGTGTCCAACGGCGCGCTGGAAAGATTAAAAATCGACGCCTTTATGAAAGGACTGCGCGACGCGGAGCTTAAAAAGGCTGTATGGACGTCACCTAAAACGACGTTTACGGAAACGGTTGGCTTCGCGCTTACACAAGAAGCAGCTAGTGTGCTGTGGACGTCAAGCATGAAGGCGAGATGCACGGAAGTTACCAGCGAAAACAATATCTCGAATGTGGTGTGCGCAGCGCTTCGACAAGCCCTGCGCGAAAATAAGCAAGTGCCGGCCTCAAAAACACGCAAGTGTTATGTCTGCCAAAAACCTGGCCATTTTGCACGGGAATGCCGAAGGAAAATAATTGTAAATAAGAGAACTTTGAAGTGTATTTCTCTTGAACAAAATATCCACGGTCCAGTGATACGGACTGCATCTTAGGAAGCGAATTTCATAACAATGTTAATGCAAAAATCTAAATCTCATACAAGAATTGAGGCCATCAATATAGCGCATAACGTATTTCTTAGATGATATAAAACAAAAACTATCAGCATTGGCAACTAGGTTAGGTACAGAATTATAAGAAATGTAAATAGAAGGAAGAAGAAAACATATCTTTTACTATCTTCTCGCCTTTATTATTTAATAAACATATAACTATGTGCTGATAATTAATTGTTCTCTTTGGATAATTTTTAAATTTAATTTATTTTGAATAGTAAGTGAACAAAATATAGTTAATTTAATCATTGCACGATATTAAATTCATTAACTAAATTTTGTGCTATTTACTAGCGCTTGTTGAGTTTTGCTCTTAGCTGCTGAATACATAACAAAACATTTTTCCGGATTTTTTAATTTGTTCCTGGTTTACGAGTTTCATCTGCTGTCTGGTGTTATTACATTCCAATAAAGTTACTAAATGTAGATTTTCTGTAAGTGAAACTCTTGGAAAAGATACTTCACTTAAAGACAGACGTTCCTTTTAATTTATTCGTGGTGATTGTATCAAATGTTGTACAAGGGAATTGCCGCATCGTGGGAAAGTTTGAAGCACACACGTGAGAAGAGTAGAAATAATAAATATTATATTGGAAGACCTCTTTCCTAAAGGCCTGATTGCGGCCAGAGATTCTACCAAATATAGACCAACAACATGTTTATTAACATTTTATAAAATTATAAGTGGATGCATAGCACAAAAAATATAACTGC